CGTTGGAGTGGGTAAAAAAAAAAAAACCCCCCCCCTGCCATTATTTTGAAGACAGGAAGAGTTGCTATTTTCACGCCTATTCATCAACACTAACCACAGTAACACAGTTCTGATATTATAGATTGATTTACTCTAAAGCTTGCATTAAAAATGGGGGTGACTTCTATTATCAGGTATATAATAGGCAGGAGTTCTGCCTTGATATCACAGCGGGGTGAGGGGGGCAGAATGAAACACAGGAACATGAATGTCCTGGACACTGTCCTGCACAAGTCCTGGAACACTTAAACAACCTTTACCTAGCGTTCAACTCAAGGGAAATACCCACTGACTTCAAGAAGCGTTTTGCTTGATTAAAAACAGAGTAGGACGTCAGGATCAAGCATACAGGTTAGACAGAGACAATATTCACTAATCCTTTCCTTCTCCTTCAGAGGAGCTCTTAATTCTGTGCTTTCACTTCTAGGGATGACACCTTTCTCACACGCTTTGTAGTGTTCAAGTGAGAAAATGAACCTCAGAGTTTGATACTTTGTGGGCTAGGGAATGATAAGGGACAGGTGTACTGTAGTGGAAGAACATGCCCTCTGGCTAACAGCCAGGCAAATATTGCCAGACTTTTGTCCTTAGGGAAGAACTTTTAAACTAAGTTACATCACTAAAAAGGGGGAGGAGAGTCACCAGAACTGTGTAAGGAGAATTGTAAGGTAGAGAGAATGGACAAGACTCTAGAAGTGTAGGCTCATTATAGAGGCACTTGAACTTTACAGATCCTCTCCAGATAAAGCTCAGCCTCTAGACCAACTAACATTAGCCTATTATCATTTTCAAGATAAAAATCCATATTACTGCTATTATTGCTATTCCTATCTATTATTATTATTAGTGCTATCTTTCCATTTTCTTCAAAATTGCAAATCTAAAGCTGAATTTCCACCAGCTTTGGAGAAACTGGGAAATCATTTCAGATATAAGAATGAACATTAATTTGAAATAAAACACCATTTTTAGAACATGCTATCTTGAAAATATTATTTGAGACTAACTTTTATGTGTTCAAGAGAATTCAGAAACACCAATCAACTTGATTCCAAACAGCTCCACTTGGTTGCGGTCAAACCTTCAGTGTAACACAAGAAGGAGAGATGCAGTTGAAAAGCAAAGCAAAACAAAAATTTGGCTTTGCATTACTTTTGGGGGAAACCTGATATTTTGGAGGGTAGTGGAAGCATCCAGATTAACAGTTAAAGAAGAAAAGCATTTCTAATAAATGCCTTCTTTGTTTCAATTAGAAAGCTCACTATTATTAATAAAATAAACTATATAATATTTTTTCTGAGTGCAGTTAATTAGCTTTCAGAATACAATGAGTGAGACCGTTTGAAAGAAGAGGTAATATCTATTATTAGGCTACTGATTGAGCCTTACAACCCTTGCTTCTCTTCTTCTCATTAGATCAGCAGTCTGCAAATCTCTGGGAAAGTCTGTAGACTGTATCTAAGCAGACTGCATGAGTTAAGAGAAAAAAAGCTTATTGTCAGTAGGCTTGTATTTGATACAGGGGGGTCCATCTCTTCACTGGAAAATATTAGGATCTGCAAATCAAAAAAAAAAAAGGTTGAAAACCTATGCCTTAGACACATCAGGACTACAACCACACTAGCATTAAAAGCATAGTGAAAAAGCAGAGGACGTCAGTGTGAAGCTAAAGCTATTGTTGCATAATTATCTTTGGATACATAAACATACTCAGTAACATTAAAAACTGGCAGGCAAGTACCTGCAAGATTTTTATTTTAGGAATGGCGTTAAGTTGTAGCTTAACAAGATTGTTTGAACTGAACTCTGAACTTGCTGAACTGAAAAACAACTGAAGTGGAGATTAAATTCATTCTAATTCTTTAAAACATTTAAGCAAGTGCTTAAATCTCACTAGACTGTACAGGCAGTAATATATGAAGTCGGATAATACGATATGTATATCTTACCGTTAAAATAAATATAGCTAATGAGGAGAATTTCAGTCAGTGGATCAAGATTATTTATTAGGTCCTTGATTTTCCCATTGGTTCTTTCTGCTACATATTCATTGATCTTCACCTGGGCTTGATCAGCCTTCTTAAAGTTCATAGGATAAACTTCTCCTTCATAAAAGTTTCTGAGATTATATAAAAATTGATCTTGTGGTCTCAGCTGGTCAAGTACAAACAGCACATTTCCCATATTCAGCTGTAACTCTTGATTCTTTCTGTTTAGCATTTGCATGAGTTGACCAAAACCTTCATGTATGTCATTTTCAGAAATCTCACGTGGATTAAAGTTAAGGACCCTAAGAATCTGTGTCAGAGTGTCTGATCTAGCACCCAGAGTCAGCATTGCAAAAGCAGTGGAGATGCTTAAAGGAGAGAAGAAAACATTCCCATTGTTTTCACGAGAAGAAATCTCTTTGTAGAAACAACAGGCAAATCGACAAACACTCTTCCCTACAGACTGCTGTGGCATATTTTGATTTTCTTGGCCTCTTTGATTTTGGTTTCTTACACCTTGTTGATAACGGTCATAGTAATAACTTTCAGAATGAATCCCAACAATTAAAAGACACAGGCAAAACAACAGCTTCATGTTTCTATAACTCTAAAAAAAAAAAAAAAAGAAAAATGACATTTGGCTTACAAATCTTTTTACTTAGTGCTTACCAATAAGTCAAACCCTTCACAATATAGAGGTGGCTTGGTACCAGTGACTCCAAGTAATCTGAGTTCAGTACAGACAGAATGGGTTCAAAGATACCAGCTTTCTATTTCAAGAAAGCAGACTTTGGAAAATTACTCAATTTCCTGTAGAAGTTGTGAAAGAAGAAAAATTAAAATCAAAGATGAGTGAAGCACTACTAAAGACAACATCATTAAGGTTAGGCTACAATCCCTTTGAAACTGTTTATTTCCAGTGTTCTATTTTTAATATGGCTATGAGTGATATAAAATTAAAAATCAAAAGTCTATAGAACTGAGACAAGGGAGCCAATTTAGGCTAGTCAGTTATATTTAGCAAGATGAAAAAACAAAGCAGAAGAAAGGCACAATATTCCTTCACTGTGAGTTTCAAAATATTCCACATATTTTTAAGTGAGCTAAGGGTAAACATAGAGGCATCACAGAGAAAGTAAAGTACTAGTTAACGAAAATGAGATGAACAGTTATTACGATTCCATGGAGCTTGAATAACTGAGCACTATTTTAAAAAAATCATATAATTAACAAAAGAGAGAAAATTACTTAGAGCAATTAGGAAGTTATCAAGCCCATGGAAATATGATGTTGCTTATTGAGAAAATGAGAATGCATGCAGAACAGCAAAAGGAAACAAGTGCGCTTGTTAGCATGCATAGGTCCAGCTCAGTGATTGTACCAAATCACCTCTAGCTATTTTTGAAAAAAATCAAAGAAATTAGAGGAAATTTCAGAATAATCATGGTGTTTACCATCAGAAAGATAGCTAGATAGAAGAAAGATAGAAGTTTTTGAGAGTAATCCTTAACATCTCACTTCTACTTCATGTACTACATTTGATATTACCACTCCTTCACTTCATTTAACTCTCTAAAACATTTCAAGATGCAGTTTTCCTTAAAAGAGTTACGCTGTACAAACATGCCCTATATCACAAAGGACTTATCTTTTTAATTTTAGAACACAATAAAACAAACCAAAAGGCTCCAAAATGCAACTTGAATGAGAAAACAGTAATTTCTCAGCTGACTATTCAGAAACAACCATTTTGCATATAATGTTTGATAATTTTTCACAGAAAAAAGATGTATTACTTACAGTGCAGTCAAAAGGGTCCTGCTGTGTTCACCAAGTCTGCCCAGGTCCTTGCTCAGTTGTTTATGCTGCTGAACAGAAAGCAGGGTATCCTCTAGTAAAGGTTAAGATCATCTAAGGGCCATGACTCACACATCATAATTTCAGAGATTAGGTAGAGCAAACAATGTTGAAACTAGTTTTACTGGACACCTAACTTTGCTGAATAGATGTCTCACACGTGACTTTCTTTTATTCACCACTGATTGTCCCAGTTAGACTCAATCTGATTTTCCTCAAACTGAACCTACTGCTTAATAATAAACATTTATCCACATCTCAGTTGCTAAAATCTACCACATTATGAACAATAGGGTCATTAACAATAGTAATTACAGTCAAAGATCTTGAATATAATTTAAAATGACTTTTGCATTACTGCCAGTAAGGCAGGAGGACCAGGCTAGAGATAATCTGAATTTTTGTGAACTAGTCTGCATGTTTGCATATCCATGTTTGGGCATGATCATCTCCAGGTGAAGTCAGTGATGATTCTAACAAAATTAGCAAATGCAGCCATAAATGTACCTGATTATCCACTTCTGCATGAAGAATCCGCTGGCAGCACAAGCTGCTATCACAGCTCCTGGGCCACTCACCTGGAAGTGTGGCCAGGTAAAAGGAATGTGGCCAGGATGCCATTGTACACAGGTGATCCCAGTGACAAGAATGGCCTGGGGATAGGGGGCGGAAGCCTAGGAACGTGGGTGTAAAATAGAGCAGCCTTTATCCCAGCTTACTATCTTGTGATCTGGCATCTGGGGAGCAGGGCCCTTTGATCATGTGCCAAGTTTACCTGGGTCAGACCACAGTGCCTGGTGTCCCAAGCTCGGCTCTAGTCACTACAGTAAACTCCTGTGACAGCTGTGGCAAGCACAGAATTAGAGAATAGTTGAGGCTGGAAGGGACCTTGGGAGATCATGTAGTCCAACCCCTGCTCAAAGCAGTGTCAACTACAGCTACTCAGGACAGCATCCAGTTGAGTTTTGGCCAAGAATGGAAATTCTACAACCTCTCTGGGCAATCTGTTCCAGCATTCTGTTCCACCCTCACTGAAAAAGAGTTTTTTCTTATGGTTAAATCACATTTCTTATATTTTCGTTTGTGGTTATTGCCTCTTGTCCTATGACTGGACACCACTGCAGAGTCTGGCTCTGTCTTTATTCCCCTCCCACCCCAATCAGGTATTTGCACCCATTGATGAGATCTCCTCTGAGCCTTCTCTTTTCCAGGCTGAACAGTGCCAGCTCTCTCAGGCTCTCTCCATTATGTTAGATGCTCATGTCAGTCACCTTCATGGCTCTACACTGGAGTCTCTCCAGTGTGTCCATGTCTTTCTTAGCCCAACCTTAAACACAGCACTCCAGCTGTGGTCTCTCCAGTGCTGAGTAGAAGGGAACAGGCACTTCCTTGGCCTGCTAGCAATGCTCTTCCTAATGCAGTCCAGGATGCTGCTGGCCTCCTTTGCCGGCTCATGTTTAAACCCTCCCGCCCTTGTATCTCATGTCTTCATTTCTAAAGCTGATGTAACTTCTTTCCTCAGCTCCCCTTCAAAATGCAACCATTTTAGGGTAGGGACCAATCCTTAGTATACACAAAATAGATGGAGTGCTGATCTCAATGGTGTTTCTAAACACCACCAAAATACTAAACACAACAATAACCTAGTAACATTTTCTGGGAGGTAAAGATGCAACCAGTGAAACTTGGTGATGATTACCACCTGTCAAGCTACTCAGTAGATTGGGGGGAGGGGGGGGAGGAAAGAGGTCCTCTTAAATAAGTTGCTTATGAACTAATGCTTGGGAAACAGAAGCCTTTGTGGCAGCATACTGTACTTGCATATAATGTGCTCTTTAGGCATAGCATTCATCTGAAAGAGTACTCGAGATGTTATTTTCTCTGTTTCTCCTAAATATAAGTGCCAGGAATCTCACTCAGAACTACCTTTTAATAATGGGCTGCAGTTTTCATAGTGTATAAAAACTGATTTCTGATGAAGGAAGGAAGGAAGCCCAATTAAATACAGACGCCATGCTAATGACAAGGTGATGGATGAATGAGTAACCTACATTTGAACACACCTAGACCACACCTCAGGACACTTGCAGGAGAAAGGCTGCAACTGAACATGAAAAAGCCTACCTGCAATTGGAAAGAAAGCAAAGAAAACCAATATAGGATCAATTTACATGAAGAACGTGAATTTCCTTACACCAGTCTTAGAGAATATCCAAATTTGTCTTTCATGTCTTCCTACTATCAAGCCATCAGAGCACTTGATAGAAAGGAAGAGGAAATAGTTCTTAAACTAACTGTATATTTTTTGTGCCTTATGAAAAAGCTACAACTATAAATGGTAATTTATATGAACTATAAACAGAATACCAATTTACCAAGAATTCAGCCTTTTTGTTTAATTTTGAAGATCTAGATATTCCCAGGATAATGCTGATGTTGCATGTGTTGCAGATGTGATATTGACAGTGAAACAAGAAATTCCCTCATCTACACTAGGAGCTTTTAGGAAAGATTCCAAACCTTCTAACACAGCTAGCACTGACAGAATTGTTCCTGTGTGACTCATCCCTAGCAGGCAACGTTTAGTGCTCCATTTACATCTGCTGTGAACAAAGTTGTAAGGAAAGGTTTATTTATGCAACGTTTACTCATTGTTATACCCAATACCACTAGTAGCATGAGTAGGGAATTCTACTTCATAAACAAGGCCCCAGAGCCTCTCCTTAGCCTAAACCACAGATACCAGGTGTGTATATATTTTCAAAGGGATGGAAGAATCTCTTAATTTGTTGTCCCATTGAAACTAAAGCACTTCCTCATAACCATAATTAAAAAGGGAGGCAACAGGGACTGACAAATAAATTCATATTAAGTTGCACGTTTCTGGAGCTGTCCATACTTTCTCCTGAAAATATAATAGAGGAGAGTGTTCAGTTTATGTAATCTGTAAGAGGTGTGTCCAATTTAACTTTGGACCCCTGATTCTCTGCTAGAACCAAAATACGGCCTTTTGAAAATGATTCAGAGCTTGAGGAATTTGTCAAAAAATATTGCACAGTGATAGATAAGTGTTACAGATGACCTTCAGAGATGGAAATTTCCCCTCTGTTCAGTTACAGCATTTTTAAAACTTCCTTCAGTCCCAGGATCTCCTGCTAACAAACCTATTATGCTACACAACAAACAGGGTGAAGAATTTACCAAGCTAGCAGTGTCTGAGATAGCTGGAGTGGGCTGGTATCTCAGAAAGCTTACAACTACACTGTTTCCGGTTCTGAAACTATCCAAAGCACTTCTGCATCTGAAAGAAAACATTTCATCCTAAGTATCTCGAAATGTCAGAAAAACCATATCAGCAATGCAGCCCTGACAGTACCCATTTGAGCTACTCTTTCACCAGTAAGCAGTGTTTGAGTCCAATAAAATAGATTTGCATGCATTAAGCTCCCTTAAAAAAACCAAAACCAAAGAAATAAACAAAAAAATAAAAAAATACCCTCAGAGGATGAAGTATTCTCTTTCCTTAACATCTCAATTATGTTTATAAAGGGCCTTCTCAATCTTAACCTTTCTCTCATCACTTCTTGGCCAGAGAGCAGCCCACATATCTCATATCCTCAGGATTCCTGTCAGCAATTCTCTTAACTTTCAGTCTCTCTTTTCTCCAGAGCCCCTAAATTCATAGTTAAACTCCATTTACATTCACTCTTCACAGACATACGCCATTCACGGGTAAATGGACACACTTGACTCTTCAACATTTCCTACATACACTCAAACTATTATCTTACCTATGACTGGAAAGCCTGGGCTCACGTAAAGAAGTTTAACTCTCTTACAACACTGCTGAGCATTTCTTGAATCAGGTCACTATCCTCCAGCACAGTGGTGTTTTGTCCACCACTGTCTGTCAGTGGTGAGATGAGAAAGCTTACAGGTAAAGGGTAGAAATGTCTGTGGCTTGGCAGGTCTTCTCCCTCCTGCCCAGCTTCCCACCTCTCCCTACTTCCTGGGAAGTCTCCCACCCAGCCTACTCTGACATCCCTTCTTCTGTGGAGGATTCAAATCCTCTGACTCAACAGATCCATACTGTATCTCTGAGTTCTCTCTACCCTTGTGGCTGTTCTGGCTTCATAGCCAAAAGGGAGCCAGCAAAGGAGGCAGGAAGAGTAAGGAAGAAATGTTAGACAGGACTCTCACTCTCTCAGACATGTCCCTCCTCCGAAATTCAATGTCACTCCAGCCCCCTCTTCTCACGTTCCTTCAAATCCCTCAGCCAATACCACAAGCCCTCCAAGCATCAATACTGTTCCTATCACCATCTCCTCAAATGACTCTCACAGCCAAGTCTCCTTCAGTTCTACTAACACCTTTTGCACCCACCTCCAGCATCTCCTTTGAGCCTCAGTGTTATGCAAAGAGTCCTGGGAAGAAGGTAAGGTGAAGACAAGAAGTAGGTAGCAGTTTGCCTTAAGAGGGCTGAAGAACCATCACTCTGAAGAGTTGTGGTCTTTGTTTACTGCTCAAAGCTTCTCTTCAAACCCAGGGCATCTCTTCTTCCATGAAACTAGTCCACTTCCTCCTCAGCAGGTCATTCAGTTAAATAGGATTTTCCTGATACAAGAATAAACTCTTCCTTTCTTTTATTTTCTGCTCAGGCTGTCTGTGAATCTCTGTCCCACACTACACAGCTTCTGCAGTTTTAATGGCTTGCACTTGTAAACTTTTTTGATCTATCTTTGGTGAAATTTAACTGCTTTTAAGTTCCTGTCTGCTGAGAATATTTGCCCAACACTGTTTTCCTCCTAACCTCAACTATCACACTGTCCCAAAACACTAACACCTTGATAGCAGCCACCAAGGTTAGTGGCTTTCTACTTCCAGTCCTTATCACCAGCTCTTGAAATTTTAATCAAATGAGAAGGCAAAATACTACAGAGAAGGCAACCCCTCTCTATTCAAAACAGGATTCATAGCTCAGGGCAAATGGAAATCTTCAATATTAAATTACTAAACTATACATAGATTACCACTCCAGAATACCTTAGAATATCTTGATCTCCTATTTTTCCGTATTCATTTCCTCCTTCCAGGTTTGACCTTCCGTCTGAAAGGCATCATGTCTCAAAATATACAAAGCTAAAGAATAAAAGAAAGTCCTGCACAAATAGGCAGACTAGTGTCAATCTCAAACTATACTATTTTTCCATGACAGTAGGAACTGGTAATTGGGGAAAAAAAAGTTTATTTATGCAGCATTTCCATCAGTAAATCTCAAGGTGTTTCTTATCATTAAGGTAACATCAACACTTTTTTGCTGAGAAAGTAACAACAACTTACTCTGTCAATGCAAACAACAGAAACCAGTGAAGAGGATGACGGTTGTCAGAAGAGATCCTTTTTTCTGACAAGATCAAGTTCTGTAGCATTTGGTTAAATGCTGAATTATCTGAATACTGTTGACTACCAATTATCTAAATACTCTAGAAGCAGATGTAACAGTTTAATTATGTTTATTTCTCATTTAGTGTATTTGAAGTTCTGTGATCTCACGGGGACTGGAGGGGGAACATGATACATTAATCTCAGCTACAGCATCATGCTCTCTCAAGCCACTCCAGCTAGACATGCAATAAGACCTCAGAGATTACCAGCTGAAGAGGGTAAGAAAGAAGGTGTGTCACAAATAGCAAGTACTGCTTTGCACATATAAATGAAATATGAAGGGGAGTTTTGTTTTTTTTTTTAAAACTGTGAGATCAAAAAGAAACTAAAAGGTAAAAAAGAGATGTGAACAAACCAGGACTGGAAAATAAACTTCTTCATTTTGGGAGCTAACCATAGAGACTGCTATACCATGCAACAACAGATCACTTGGCAGTCTCAAAACTGGAAGCAATATAGCCAAAGCAGTGACATGATGCTGAAGCTCTACAGGTCTACTTAGAACTCAGGCTAATTACGTTGAGGTGGCTGTCCTACTGTTGAGCTGTGACAATTCAGCTCTCTGCAGCATGGTGCTGTGCCACATATTCCCATCAACTTACGCAGAACAAACTCAGATATCTAGCACAACATCACATTGCACAATCTGAACACAAACACTGTCTTGTAAGAAAATCTGAATAGAGTCCAGTACAAAAAAGCTCCAAGAGAGACTTCTGAAGGAACTGAGAATTAACCCTAAGTAACAGTTCCAACACTGTCCTAAGGGAAGTTACATGGTCCAGAATGAAGCTTGTAGACCACAGACAGTACTTTGCATGCTGTGTCTCAAACATGCACGAGAATCCAGAAGAATTGAACCTGAATTAGAAAGATATATCCTGTGAAGTAATCTGTGTGTGCCACGCAGCATGACTCCACTGCTTCTGATACCTGACCTAGCTCGTTCGGGGGCTCCCTTAGATATCTCTCTGCCCACACAGTTTGCACAAAGACTGCAGACATACCCTGGGAAGAAAGCACAAAGAGCTCATGAGACATCCTGTGACAACCAGCCCAAGTTAATACAGGCATTACAACATGGAAAAAAGATGCAAAAATTTTAACCGATTACACCAGTTCAGAAGAATTTATGAGCCACAGCAGTCAGTATATAGCATAGTAAAGTCCTTGTACTTTCAGACTACTAATTCAGAGGAATTTTTCATAGAAACACTGGACAACATCGCACCAGGAGGTGAATTACTGATACTGAGAAAATAGATCATTGCTCTTTGTAAATTTGATCCTGGTGCACACACCCACGTGGTGATGAAAATTCTGAAATGATAACTACAGAAAAACTTTGGGTAGTGGTATGATTCAAAGTTTATAGAAATGATCTGATTCACACTGAGGAAATGTGTGAATTATAGGTACGGATAAATAAACTGGAAGAAAAAATATTCTAGTTCTATCTGGAAGAAGAGTCTGTAAAAATATATCATACCCTTGATCTCATCAGGGCAGTGAACTCACTGGAAAGGGAAATGGACCAAAACAACTCAGAAAAAGCTTGAGTATGTCTCCAAGAGCAAAGCTGTCACTACAATATAGAACAGAACTGAGAGGTGACCTCTCAGAAGAACATATTTCAGGCTTAATAGGACATACTTCATACTTCAGGAAGAAGCAATTTCTTCCTTCCTGGAAAGCTGCAGATGAAGATTTATTTATGCTGGTTGGAAAAATAATATGTATTTTTTTCAAATAACTGTTTTTCACTTCCGTGAAATAGCTTTCAGGTGAAATACTGGAGCTCTGTGTGTGGTTGCATTAAATGTAGATGACTGACATACTGGTCCATTTCACTGGCTTGTTACTCAGCAGGTGTGAACTTAAACTAGTTGCAGTTGAATTCAGTAGGCTGAACTCCTTTATCTCCATGCCAAAAGATATAAAAGTTCACTCTAAACTTTGTACTGTTTAGCAACAAGCAAACAAATGAACAAAACACGATTTGTCACATGTAGATATTTAATTTAGCAGAAAACAGAAAGTTAGAATGCCTTTAAAATCTTCAAGTGACTGCCAGAAGAACCATAGGTCTACACAACTATAAAGAAACAAAACTGTTTAGTTAGGATCCCAGTTGTGTCCATCACTTCATGAACATGATGAAAAGCGCTCTTATAAAAGATGTCAATGATCACAATGAGCATATACTCGGTGGTCTAAGAAGAAAAGCATCCAAGGAGGGATGTTTATGTTGAAGATTAAACAACGCCTCCAAATTGTGAAAAGAGGATAAACAGAGGACCTGAGATTTGCTGCTTTTCTAGAAAAGGCTTCTATTAGGCGACAGTAGCCCGAGGGAAATGAACTCTAGGACAATAAACCAGAACAAAAAATACTGATGCTGGAAGAAAGAGCTATAGGTCCAGCCCAGAATGCAAAGGACCCAAGGGATTTACAGAAGTTAGCTAGTCAGTGTAACGAGTAGCCCGAGGGAAATGAACTCTAGGAAACTGGTTCTAGCAAACTGGTTCTAGGTAACTGGAATTTTGTGCAACACCATTGTATTACTAATATATTTGAAGTAGGGAAAAAAGGTCTCTTACTGAAAATTGTACCCATAATGGTTTAGCTTGGTAGATACAGAAAATGTAGGGTGTATCACCGAAGAAGCAGTGCAGGTTAGAACTGTGACACTAGAAAAAAAGGGAATTCCTTTCATCATAATTGCCATGTAATGCACACTACATAATAAATGCCCCAAATGATTCAGTTCAACTGTTACCCAAATGATTTTTTGGCAATAATCTGTGAAAATCTTCAGAAAGCTAAATATGCCTTTAAACCTACTTGGAAGCAGAGAGATTGTAACCATGTCAGAACTGTGCATGAGAAAGCTAGTTGGCTTAAGACATTCTGTAGAAGTACGATGGCACAGCCCTGGCAGAGTAAAGCTGCTGCGCTTTTCACTTCACTATCGGAACGAGGATTCAGTACCCTTATTCTGGGCACATCTGCTGCTCAACAAACAGCATGCCCCTTTTTAGATCCTGCACACACAGGATCTTTGTCATGCTGGGCACAAGCTATGTTTCTCTGACAGCCAATCTGCCAAGCATCTGCATGAGCAGTGCAGCAGGCAACACATCTCTTTGATGGAGTGACATTTGGGACCAATCCTCTCTCTTCAAAGATGACTAACACATGTGGATATCGGAAACATGAATTTGGTAGTAAAATTCTAAAGCATCATAAGGAGAGAGAAATATGTTCTAGAGAAAGAAAACAAAAAAAATATCAGGAGACTCTGTTTTCTTCAGGCCATAACAAGACTGAAACCTCCCACAGACTTGTGTCCTTTCTACTTCTTCAATCAATGCACCAGCCAGCAATTGGAGATGTATATATTATATATATGTGTATGTATGTATAAATGTATTTTAGAAGTTGCTTAATAATGGGCTGTGGCATGAAAGAAAAGAAAAGAGCAACAGTTGCTCAAGAGCTGTTAAGTGAAGAGACTCTTTTTAACAGCTACTAAAGCAGGTGGAGCTTTGGCAACCGCAGGATAGAAAGAATATAAAGTAACTCACATTTGGATTGGCCTACTGGTGGCTGCTGCTTCCTGGAAAGGGTCTCATTCAAGTAGACTAATGACAACAGGAGCCTTTCTCCTTGATTTCAGCAGATTCTGGATCAGGTCCCTCCTGCAGCGTGCCCAGCTTTCCACAGGGGTTTCCGACAGTCTCCAGCGCAAACAGTGGATTCACAAACAGTTCATGCAATGGCAAAATGATGCCAAGAGTGCACTGACTTCACATTTTGTCCCAGCTGTTCACAGCCTGTTGCAATCTCAAGAGACATTA